GTAGGGAAACGCACGCAGGAAACCAGCAGGTTCTGTGAGCAACAAAACCAACCAAGTCTGGTCCCTCAGGGGTTTGACTCTCATCCCTAATCGCAAGGGCTGATTTAAGTTTTTCCTATGGCTGTAATATTTGTAAGGACCTCTTTTGATAGACTTCTTTCCACATCACCTGCTGTATTTTCATGAAATTTAGAAGAATTTAATTGGTATAAGTCCAGGGGTTCAAAAGTTATTTGTGGGGACATCTGGGTACCATAAACCTATATGTCTTACTCTTTTTGAAAGGCAGACTAAAATTCACAGCGTTTACTTACTTACAATAGGCAAAGGTTTTTTTGTTCATTTTTGTGTCTTTCAATTCCACCCAAGCAAGAAACAAAAAAAAATAATTGAATATAGAAAAAAAAAATCATGTTAAATTTGTGCAGAGACAGAAGGAAAAAAACTTTCAAAATATAGCAAAGTAGATGAGCTCCAAAGACACCAAAACACATCTTTGTTACTAAGCAAGTAAAGTGATACTAGTTGAGAAAATTTTTTATTATTAATAGATTTTATTCTGCTTTATTTTCATGAGAGACTTAATAAAAGGCGTTAAATATTTTAAAAGAAAATTCCTACCAGAATAAAGCAACAACCAGCACATCCTCTAAGTCATCAAACTGAAAGAAACAAACCACCACAGAAAAGGTAAAACCCTCAAGGCTCACTGATTAGTAAACATTCACAGATCAAAAAGAAACCAAATACTTTTTTTTGAAGGACAAAGGGGAAGAAAAGATAGAACAAGTTCCTTGTCCTCCTCCTCTCTGCATTTCCTCTAAATCTAGGATATCATTTTTGCCCTTCGCAGCAGCTCCAGCTCCAGCAACTGTGCAGTCTCTTCTGTCTTTTTTTCAGACCACACAAGAGGAAAATGAATGGGAAGATGAGAAAACTATTGCTTTGCACTGAATGCATAATAAAATCAGATTCTGAAGATAAAGTTGTTCAACGTTAAAACAACTTTCTTAGCATCTGCTTTTCCAGGACAGGTAAGTGTTTCCGCCAGGCAGATTTAGATTTGCATATAATAAAATTTCAGAGCACTTCTCTAAATTTTTTTCAGGTAGCTTCACAGATCAACCATCATCTTAGTGATGGAGAGCTTACCCTTGGAAAGATTCACAGCTAACCATTAGGGATCCTATTCAACTGGCACAGTCACCTTAATCACTGTTATATAAAAAAAGCAAAGTAGCCACAGAGGAAACAATACAGTAGGAGAAAATTTGGAGGACAGACAGGCAGACTTCAAGGCATTCAAGACAAACCTAGGAGGTGCTTCCAGAAAGCTATAATGCAGGATGACAGACTCACTCTTCTAAATCTCTTGCAGGGTGGTCTGACCCCAGCAGCAGTAACAGCTGGATCTGGGTTTGGAGACCCTCTGTGACCCCCCACCTCAAGAGCACAGGCTCTAGCCTACCTCCACATCACAGGAAAGCAGCTGACCTCCCCATCTGGCAGCAGCTGCTGTTGAAAATGCTCCTCCGGCACCTGCTGCAGAGATCCAGGCAGTTGTTACACAGCGAAGCTGGAAAGGACAACTGCTGCTCCTAACACAGAGAGCCGGGCTGTTACTCCTGCAAAAGCTGGGAAAGCAACAAACAGCTGTTGCTGAATCAAATACAGAGTCAGGCTACTGTTGCCCAGACAGATAGTGGGTGGCAGTTGTTGCACAGAAGCCGGGAGCAAATGGTATTTGGCAGCAAGGCAGAATTTATCTCACCTGTGGCACCACTCCACTTCTCGCCAAGGCAAAACGCAGCAGTCAAAAGTACCCAAAGGCCAC